TAGCAGTATTGTTAAAAGTATAATAACAGTATTGTTAGGACTATAATAGCATTATTGTTAGTATAATAGTAAAATTGTAAGTAGTATAATAGCAGTGTTGTTAGTAGTATAATAGCAGTGTTGTTAGTAAAATAGCAGTGTTGTTAGTAGTATAATAGCATTATTGTTAGTAGTATACTATCAGTTTTGTTCGTAGTATAATAGCATTGTTGTTAGTAAAATAGCAGTATTCTTAGTAGTATAATAGCAGTATTGTTAAAAGTATAATAACAGTATTGTTAGAACTATAATAGCATTATTGTTAGTAGTATACTATCAGGTTTGTTCGTAGTAAAATAGCAGTATTGCTATTATACTACTAGCAATACTGCTATTATGCTACTAACAATACTGCTATTAAACTACTAACAATACTGCTTTTTTACTAACAATACTGCTATTGTTAGTAGTATAATATCATTGTTGTTAGTATAACAGCAGTATTGCTAGTAGTATAATAGCAGTATTGCTAATAGTATAATAGCTAGTATAATAGCAGTGTTGTTAGAAAAATAACAGTATTGTTAGTAGTATAGTAAAATAGCAGTGTTGTTAGTAGTATAATAACAGTGTTGTTAGTAAAATAGCAGTATTCTTAGTAGTATAATAGCAGTATTGTTAGTTGTATTAATAGCAGTGTTGTTAGTAGTCTAATAGCAGTGTTGTTAGTAAAATCGCCGTGTTGTTAGTAGTATAATAGAAGTGTTGTTAGTAAAATAGCAGTGTTGTTAGTAGTATAATATCAGTGTTGTTAGTAAAATAGCCGTATTGTTAGTAGTATAAAAGCAGTGTTGTTAGTAGTATAATAACAGTATTGTTAAAAGAATAATAACAGTATTGTTAGTAGTATAATCGCAGTATTGTTAGTAAAATAGCAGTGTTGTTAGTAGTCTAATAGCAGTGTTGTTAGTAATATAATAGCAGTGTTGTTAGTAGTATAATATCAGTGTTGTTAGTAAAATAGCCGTATTGTTAGTAGTATAAAAGCAGTGTTGTCAGTAGTATAATAGCAGTGTTGTGAGTAGTTTAATAGCAGTATTGTTAGTAGTACAATAGCAGTATTGTTAGTAAAAAAGCAGTATTGTTAGTAGTATACTATCAGATTTGTTCGTAGTATAATAGCAGTATTGTTAGGAGTATAATAGCAGTATTGTTAGGAGTATAATAGCAGTATTGTTAGGAGTATAATAGCAGTATTGTTAGTAAAATAGCAGTGTTGTTAGTAGTCTAATAGCAGTGTTGTTAGTAAAATCGCCGTGTTGTTAGTAGTATAATAGTAGTATTGTTAGTAAAATAGCAGTATTCTTAGTAGTATAATAGCAGTATTGTTAGTAGTATACTATCAGTTTTGTTCGTAGTATAATAGCAGTATTGCTAATAGTATAATAGCAGTGTTGTTAGTAGTATAATAGCAGTGTTGTTAGTAAAATAGCAGTATTGTTAGTAGTATAAAAGCAGTGTTGTTAGTAGTATAATAGCAGTGTTGTTAGTAAAATAACAGTATTGTTAGTAGTATACTATCAGTTTTGTTCGTAGTATAATAGCAGTATTGTTAGTAGTATAATATCATTGTTGTTAGTATAATAGCAGTATTGTTAGTAGTATAATAGCAGTATTGTTAGTAGTATAATAGCAGTATTGTTAGTTGTATAATAGCAGTATTGTAAGTAGTATGATAGCAGTGTTTTTAGTATAATAGCAGTATTGTTAGTAGTATAATAGCAGTATTGTTAGTAGTATAATAGCAGTATTGTTAGTTGTATAATAGCAGTATTGTAAGTAGTATGATAGCAGTGTTTTTAGTATAATAGCAGTATTGTTAGTAGTATAATAGCAGTATTGTTAGTAGTATAATAGCAGTATTGTTAGTAGTATAATAGCAGTATTGTTAGGAGAATTATAACATTGTTGTTTATTTAAGCATTAAACAGCATTCTTTTTCGTGTTATGGTCCTACATTGTATAACACGGAACAGGTTGCAGACAAAATGAATAGCGCGCGTTATTAATTTTGTCTGCAATCCTGTTAGTGTTATAGGACCGAAACATGGATCATAATGCTGTTTTTTGCTTATATATACATTTTTACTTTTTTTAATTTTCATTTTTAAGTTTACATCACACTTTTAAATTCAAATTTAATTCAAGTTTGTTCAAGAGTAGAACAGCCCATGGAATTTCTCACGGAATGTGGTCTCGTGACTTTTCCCGTAAAAAATATAGTTCGTGGAAATAATCACAAAAATATCGATACCATTTCCATAACTTAATCAATCACTATAATCAATTCACATTTCATAATAGTCTTACATAAAACGGTGAATATTACATTGTATCCTGGGTCAACCGTAGTAGTACTTCTGTATCCGTGACAACTTTTGAACATGTTCAAAAATTCAGCACGGATCAGACAACTGTAGTACATCCTTACTGGTCCGTAGTTGAATGTTGCAGTCCGTAATAAACCGTAATTTGCCGTACTTATTCGTAGTACATCCCCGGCCTCAAGTCGCCAATGATCGGTATGGTTGGTTACGGTGAACTACGTACTTGTACCAACCCGTACTAAAATCAAAATTAAGTTGTGGAATAAACACGCGAGCGCGGGAGTTTGTATACGGGCAGGTCCGTGGCGCTCCGTGCGAGTTCGTACTTATCCGTGCCAGACTTTTCTAATTCGTGCTAACCCGTACTAAAATCGTAGCGAACCGTTGTTAATCCGCAGTGCATACGCCGTGACACGTGTCATTCCGTTCTAAACCGTACCGAACCGTAGCAATTCGTATCACTCCCGTTGTCAGCTAGCCCCTATCCGTAGTCAAACCGTACGCGTGGTGCATCCGTATCGGACCACGGATATAGACTATTCCGCGATCATCCGTGAGTTTCCATCCTTAGTGGATCCGGCGAGACGATCCGTGAATGTGTGACCTGGGCATAATAGATACAGCTGAAAATGCATAGTTTCGGACATATGAAATAAAAAAATTAAGAATTCGATTTGCTTTTTGCATCTGTCTATTTAAATTTTATACATATCCGGTAATATATGTGTGATTCGAGCTTGTTTTATGCATAAATACTGCGATTGCAGCCTTTTGGTTCGGGCCAAATTATCCAAAGAAGAAGTAAAAAATGTCTCTGTCAATAAGACGTTAGGATCGTCATCTTGCACGAAAAGTACTTGAAAAGAATTTGTTCGGGACTTTATGGGAACATTTGTACCTTGTTTGAAGTCAGTCACTTCTTTCATTCTTGAGAAGAAGTCAAAAAGGCCCCAGCCATTCAGTGCGGCCATGTTGGCCATGTTGGATTTTCAGATTGGTACGAAAAAAAGGAACATTTGATCGGGACATCATAAGGAACATTTGTACCAGAGCTTTGGTTTACATTATTCATTGGTTTAATCTCGTGATAGAGGCAACTAATCAAGTATTTCTCTCGATGCTGCGAATGACAGAATCGTTTTGTTAATTTACCATGCATCCTTCTGGTTTTGATAAGATGAAAATATATTTTGAGAAAGTTCATAACATAAATGTGAAAGTGGCATGCATGAAACTTTTTCAGGGATAATCTTTATTACCATGACATCACAGTCCAAGCAATATTTCAATCGGTCCTCTTTAGTTATTTCACTTCAGGCTGTTTCGTCATTTATTTTTTCGCTGTGCGTCAGGACTATTTTTCTGTTTATGTCATAGACTGAATATCATATTATCGATAATGTGGAGAGTGTCCGAAGAACCATTGTGTCATAAACTAGGTCAAGTTTTTCTACCAATGAATATCTTCAAATCAAGAAACCGTAAGGTTTATAAATTATTTACAAATGCATTTCTATTTTTTTTATAACGAATCATTTAATCTTTTCACGACTGGTGACCGTTGACGGTAATAAATACATTATCCAAGGTATGAATCTGTATCTATGAAACCTATCCGGGAGCGAGTTCAAAGCTACATGGAAGTCTGGGAGGGATCGAATTCCAGTCTTTCACAGATTTGGAAAAAAAACGATCGCCTAAAATGTTCCTAACTGAACAAGAAGATTTTGAAGTTTTCATAGTCTTGTTACCTGGTTAAAATATATTGAAAAGAAAGAGCAGGTGGTGTTCTTTCCTTAGTAAGAGGCCAAGGTTATCAACCTCTGTCAGGATGATGAGTTTTTCAGCTGTTATATGTGTAGTAGGACGAGGCATAATGATAAAGATAGTGCCGTCGCTGGAACCCGCGAACCTTGGCTCTCCAGCCCGATGCTCTACCGCTGAGCTAAAAGGGCTTTCCTTAAAGCTGACGCTTGTACGGCAACCTAATTAATCCACATCTTTTACGCTATTCCCCCCTTTTTTCAAACACCAACCCATGTTCTTTGACTCCCCACCAAGGGTTCTCCTACCTTGAACGGGGAGGGTCAACGGCACCGGATGGACGAGGAATAATGATAAAGATAGTGCCGTCGCTGGGGCTCGAACCCGCGACCCTTAATTGGATCTCCAGCCCGATGCTCTACCGCTGAGCTAAAGGGAAAATCCCTACAGCTAATGCTTGTAAGGCAATCTAATTAATCCTCATCTTTTACATACGTATGTATGTAAATGAGCAGTTAATGTGGTAGAGGAAACAATCGTCATCAAATAACCTTATACTGAGATGATTTAACACACTGTGGAAAAGGATTTCGGATCACTTCGCCCATTTCCGTCGAAATTCGAAATTCACGGAAATGGCCGAGCATGGTCCGAATGCCGCTTCCGGTTTTTACCAGATGCGAAAATAAATTATTCTATTTGGTTAATACTGTACAGATATTAGATTATCAACTTTACAATACCGAATAAAGATTTAAACATTCTACTTTTATTGACTTTATCTAAGTTAAGATTTACCGAATAAGTGAGTAAACTATTGACATCGATTAAAGTACGAAACTGTTAAGCTATTCGCTAAATCCTGTCAAGTTTCACTTCAGCGAGTTAAACTCCTTCGACAGGAGTGTGAAACGGCCGTAACTGTACTGGAGCCTAGCTGCCAGGAAATGGGAAACAGCCCCAGCAACAGCGATGCAGAAGAAGATCGGGAATTCAAAGAGGTTTTTACTTAAGCTGATTTTTTCCTATAATGCTTTTATGCCTCGGTGCCAAAATGACCCCTTACGTGCGCTGCAGTTTCACGTACTAATGTAAACACCCTCCAGTAGCCTATGTCATTGGAAAGGTACAACATCCTGGGTTGGGATGCCTCGAAATATGATTTCGGACGTAACATTCACAGGTGGAGTAGGCCTACAAGGTTGCATGATATTTTGTTCTCCAAAAACTTGCTCTACCTCCACATAAGTACATTGTACATGTAACGTTATGTATGCGGTGTCTGCGCATTGTTGATTGATATTTTATATTCTGGCTTTTATGGAACTATGCTCAGGTGTATGTATTTATAGAAATATGCTCCTTGATTACTATAAGTCCACCATACTGACCATAATCAGGTTGGACACAATCCTGTGTATGGGTAATTTGGGTAACAGTTTACATAAACAGTTTTATTACTTAAATGGGAATAAAGTGAAATGAAAACACCTAAAGTTTTTTGAAACATTATGAACAAAAAACGGCTTCATAAATATGATCTGTCGCCTGATATGGTTATGCCAGGTAATAAAAATCTCTTAATCCTCTATTGCAGTTCATTGCATTAGATTAAACAGTAATGTATTTATTAACAATTTCAATTTTAGATGAGGTGCACTTTTAATTCTTTATTCAAAGTAACTGTAAGTGATGACAGAATATTGGAAGACTACAATGTATTTCACATAACCAAACTAGAGTAACCAACTGTTTATTTAAATAGCTTGTATGTGGTCTGGGTAAAACAAGAAAAAAGTTTAAGAAAGTATCAAATTTTAATTGAATAACAATGAGCGTGAATTAGACTTGTAACAAGAGAAAGAGAAAATGTAACAGCCATACCAGGGTTCGAACCCGGGACCCTCCAAACTCTATACAGAGGCTCTACCAATTGAGCTACCTGGTCGTTAGTCCGAATTATTCTGACGTTTTATCAAAAAAATTTCTTATCAGTTTGTCGTCGATTAAAGTCAGAACTCCGGCCCTCTATATTATGCGGGAAATATGCGCCCCGCGCCCGGAGCGCACTTCAAACTGATATTTTAGAAACAAATTGTCACTTTCACACACATATTGCACATGGATCGAAAGATTTATTCTTTATGCACAAGATGAACATACACAACATGCCTCAAACAACCAATACAATCACTAAAAACATATTTTTTCAAACTTACTCTGTTTTACTCTAGTTTTTTGATAGCCCCCGCCTTCTAATGCCACATGACTAAAATCTCGTCGGCTACGTCATAACGTTGGGAAATACCTTCGGTAACTCGAGATCTCGTCAAGTCATGTGACATTGCTCATGGCCTAATTTCCATTAAAAACATGTGTTGGTATAGAAAACGTTGGAAAATACTTTTCGTAATGATCTTTGAAACATGTTATTGATACCACCTAGTGCATGAAGAATAGATCTTTCGATTTATGTGCGACATGTGTGTGAAAGTGACGATTTGTTTCTAAAATATCAGTTTGAAGTGCGCTCCGGGCGTGGGTCGCATATTTCCCGCATATTATAGAGGGCCGGAGGTCTGACGTTAATCGACGACAGACCGATATGAAAAAAGTTGATAAAACGTCAGAATAATTCGGACTACCTGGTCGTCAACGATCGACCCAGTCCAGTTCCGCTACAGACTATTTGTTATGTATTCAGTTTCTTATCTAGAGTACTAGCATACAGGCAGATTGTGACAAATAATATTTTGCTGTGTAGCATTCATCCCTTGCCATCCTGTTTCAGCTGGATGATGGCAACTCTGACAATGAAGATGGTGGTGAGTATATTATGTACTTGCATGTGGTTGCATAATTCTCAACACTAGATCCAGTGGCTTTACATTAAGTACCTTTCTACTAAACCACATACTGGGATGTTGAATGTTGATGTATGAGACTACTTCATGGAGATATTATCAAAGCACATGAAGGATATAATATACCCTTTACAGGGGATTGTTTATCCCAGATAATAAAAGAACAAGACATTCTTTCTGGAATGACTGGAAACACTCTTTCACATCTAGTTCAAACTTTAAGGAACCCAATATGAAACATACTGTATATCCCTCCACTAGGTATACAAATGTGTGAGACTTTTGATGGAATCACAGCTAACATTGTTTCAGTTATTACGAGATAAAAAAGTTGTTACTTTTCCTTTGTAGACAAAGATGGATTTACCACAACAGATTTGAGTGGACTTTTCAACCATACAACTCTTAGGAATTATGCTGCAAAGATTAAGTATGCTAATGTTTAATAATTTATGTCTATTCAGAAACAACAACTTCCAACAAATTAAAGTCAATTTAGCTGACCTGCTCAGTGCATAAAATTTTTCTTCAAACATAATATTCCATTTTACCTCATTATACCCCTACTCCTCCAAATCTACGAGGCCATTTTCAACGAAACTTTTAAGATATGATAACTATCACCTGAAATTGTGCATCCAGGTATTATTCTTTTCGTTCTGACACTTTTTTTTGGAGTAATGTCCATTTCTTAAAAAACAGTTCTCCATACAACTCCTCCACAGGGCCCAACCTGGACCTAAAAAATCAGTAGTCAAAAAAGTAGCCATGTTTGAATTTCAGTAGCCAATTTTTTTTAAACAGTGGCAATACTTTCTCGGCCTCCAACCATTACGGATAGGCCCTCCATTAAAATCATTAAATATTTTTTGAAGTGCAATACTATTCAACATGATGTTAAATTAAGGAGTATTCTGTTAAATCAAAAAGAATGTTATGCATCATGTTTATAATTTAATCCATAATATGATATTTTTCAATCCTTTCAGATTATATGGCTGTAATTTTAAGAAAATATGACTTAAATTAAAATGCTGAAAATTTCCATCAGAACTTTTGTAAAAAAAAAAAAATGGCAGTAGAACACATTTGAAAGGAAAAGGACGAATATATAACGGTATTGACCAACCCTTCAAAATAAATCGGGAGCACATCACGTCGCGCAACTTGGCCATTCCTGTGCACGTGTCGTCGATTGGCACCTAATACAAGCGACCGTCGAAGTAATTCTGAACGGTTTGCTGTTCTAAAAACTGCATAACTGCGATGCTAAATAACTTTTCTCGATTACTTGAAATTCTAAAATGTCTAACCACGAAAATACACAGTCAGATACAATATAGGGCCTATTGTTGAAGTGATCTGAAAGGCCGAAAATCGGCGCTTCGGCATGGTGTTTTAAGGCGATACTTATACTTTCTAATCAAGCATATCAGACAGGTTTATGCTTGCTACGGTACTGGAAAAGGTAAATGAATACCATGTACACTAACACTATGCTCCCTGTTTTAACGGAATATGTCAGATATGATAACTACCACCTAAAGTTGTACATCCAGGTATTTTTGTCCAACCCTTTTTATGGAGTTATAGCCCTGTGTTGAAAAATCCTTGTCCTGACAACTTCTCCTTATCTACTGGGCCAATTTCAAAGAAAGTTAACAGATATGGCAACTGCCCCTTGACCTTGTGCATTCAAGTAGTTCTTTATCATTCTGACCCTTTTAAAAGGAGTTATGGTCCTTTGTAGGAAAAAAACTTTGTCTGCCTCCTAAACTACTGGGCCAATTTCAATGAAAGTTTACAGATATGGTAATAACCCCCTGATGTCGTGTATCAGGGTAGTATTAATTCATTTTGACCATTTTTAAGGAGTTATGTTCCTTTGTTAAAAATCTTTGTTAAAAATCTTTGTCCAGACATTTCTTCCATTACTACTAGGACGATTTTAGCAAAATTGTTCATCTGTGCTAACAACATTTCGTTTGCAAGTATGTTTTGGCATTGAGAGGGAGAACAGGAAGTATGTGAGTGACATATATACATAAATAAGTGTACAGCTCAGTCAATAAAGAAATCATTACTGGTGGGAGACTATATTGCATTGCAATGCTTTGCCTTAGTAAGCCTTTAGCTTACAGTTCTGGTTTATATAGGAGCGAGGGGTTTAGTTAGCCTTTGGCTCACAGTTCTAGTTTAAAATGGAGGGGCTGACCTCACAGAGTGGAGGAGAGGGCAAAATAAGTCATTTGGCCAGCAGCTTTCTTCTTCAGTCAACTGTGTCGCTTTGTCATAACATGTAACAATAAATGCTACCAGGATTGGCCTCAGGGAACAGCCCCACCCCTGAACACATAGTGTTGGGTCATAACTTTCAATGTTGGACTGTTGAATTCCCTACTTAGACGAATACTATTATGTTATTAGAATTGGTTCTTGGGTCTGGCTTCAACCCTGGGAATAGTTCCTTGTCATAACATAGAAACAGTTGAGATCACAACCCTTAAACCATATATACAACCCTCGGAATAGTTCCTTGTCATAATATAGAAACAGTTGAGATCACAACCCTAAAACCGTATATACAAGTGCTGGACAAGAACAGACAAACTCATGATTTGCTCCAGGTAACTTAAGTCCTTTATTGATACCAATCGGGACAGCTATCAACAAAACCATACTCAATGAACCCTCGCTCTCTTTGCTTATGTCTATGTTTGTTCGCTTTTAAGTGTGAATGTGCATTTAAGTGATGAAGATGATGATGAATGTTGGGATGATGATAATGATTGCTCTGAATCGACTGATGATGATTATGATAGTTATGATGATGATGATGATGATGATGAGACTATTTTGTTGTGATTGCTTTAAAATCAAGGTGAGTGATACAGGGTTTCTGTGCCTCTTCTTTTCTGATGCATACTATTCACATAATAAATTGCTGATAAAGGTACTGGATTGTAAAACATGTGAGAAAACGACAATTAGTGTATTTATTTTTCAATTTCATTATTATTTTTTTACTACATGCAATGCAATCAGTACTATACCATGTCTATCTGTTGACAGAGAGGAAATCCCTGAAAATGTCTTGCAACAATACCGATTCCAGATCATCAGATGGCTGGAAGATAGGGAAAGCAAAATGGAGGTAAAGCAAACACAGCAATATATTAGTTTAACATTCATTCAAATCATCTAAATAACAAAACAATGCAAGTTTTGTTCTGATTTTAGGACACTGTGAGTTGCAGATTGTAAAAGACTTGTATGGGAATGTACTAGATGGAAGCTTCACCGCATTTGCCAGAAAAAATACACCCACCTAAATTCCTAAGCAACGTTTAGTTTATTAAACAAAGCAGACTTATCCCATTCAAAGTTATCTATTGTGCCCCCACCATTTCTTTGTATACTATTGCTTTGAATGGAATCTCAAAACATGTTAACAGCAACACAAGTTTGCTGAATATTCTATAAGAGAAAATGACATATAGCCACACGAGGACTCAGAACGCCTGATTTGTGATCTCCCAGCAGACTTCAGGCCACCTCCAACTAGGTGGGAGCTTTGTTAGATTTGAGTAAATTATGCACTGCACCATGCATATGAATTTCCTTGATGGATCAAGCAAGCCAATTACATGTATGTTTATGTTTTCCAATAGCCTCTAAGCTCAAAGCTTCCAACTAGTAGGCACTAAAATATAGGGTAGGTAGGAAGGTTAATGAAACAGATTTCTTATTTTGGCTTCAAGAAAATCCAGAAGTACAAAAACATCATAATGATATATATATCAACATATCAATATATGTGATGATTCTCCATTTGTTATTTCAGGAGACTTTGACTATCGCCCATTTCTGTGATTGGCTAATGAACAAGGGAGTGTCTAGAGATGATGCTATTAAGGTACGTGTCCATCTGACTGGACTTGATAGTCCTCCATCCAGCCAAGCTTACTAGTGGCCGAATATCAAGACCCTAGGACTCTTTAAGTTATTCAGTTATCAAGAAGAAGTTGTTTAAATGTTTTACCACATTTGACCTTGATGTGGATCATGTTGATTTCTGCTTTCCTTTTTCCCAATTCATATCTCGGAAACGTACAAACAAAAAGTTATAAAAAAAAGTTAAAGTCAGATGATTGTTAAGGCCAATGAACCGTTTGTTATAGAACAACAAACTGATATAATTGCAAAGACCTGGGTGATATTTTGCAGCAAATAATGTGGTTTAGTGTTCCGATGGTGAAAGCATAACAGCTGAGTTTATAGTCACGTGACAACAGCTGAGTATATAGTCGCGTGACTACAGCTGAGTTTATAGTCACTTGACAACAGCTGAGTATATAGTCACTTGACAACAGCTGAGTATATAGTCACATGACTACGGCTGAGTATATAGTCACATGACTACAGCTGAGTATATAGTCACGTGACTACAGCTGAGTAGTCACGTGACTATGGCTGAGTTTATAGTCACTTGACAATGGCTGAGTATATAGTCACTTGACAACGGCTGAGTATAAAGTCACGTGACTACGGCTGAGTTTATAGTCACTTGACGACGGCTGAGTATATAGTCACGTGACTACGGCTGAGTTTATAGTCACGGGACAACGGCTGAGTATATAGTCACGTGACTACGGCTGAGTTTCTAGTCACGTGACAACGGCTGAGTATATAGTCACTTGACTATAGCTGAGTATATAGTCACGTGACTACAGCGGAGTAGTCACGTGACTATGGCTGAGTTTATAGTCACTTGACAACGGCTGAGTATAAAGTCACGTGACTACGGCTGAGTTTATAGTCACTTGACGACGGCTGAGTATATAGTCACGTGACTACGGCTGAGTATATAGTCACGTGACGACAGCTGAGTATATAGTCACGTGACTACAGCGGAGTAGTCACGTGACTATGGCTGAGTTTATAGTCACTTGACAATGGCTGACTATATAGTCACTTGACAACGGCTGAGTATATAGTCACGTGACTACGGCTGAGTTTATAGTCACTTGACGACGGCTGAGTATATAGTCACGTGACTACGGCTGAGTTTATAGTCACGTGACAACGGCTGAGTATATAGTCATAAAAGATTCAATCATTATGTTCAAGATCTTGTTTAATGGCCAACACAAATCTGCATATAACATGAAGGAGTGATATTTTGTTTCTCCATTTTGCAGGCGTTCCAGCAGTTTGATGTGGATGGCAGTGGGGTCGTGGAAGTGGACACAGTCCTGGAGACAGTAAAGTCAATCAGTGGACCTAATATTCTCGGCGAGCTTGGGCGTAGCATCCGCATGCTCCAGGCATGTTCCCTTGTCCCTGGTAATTCAACTCTTCCACTCAGTAGATAGCCTTTAGAAACTTTATTTTCTGATAAACATAGAAATGTCTGCCTAGAAACTTGATTGGGTTAGCAGGAATGAGTATATATTCCAATTACTTCATTTAAGTTTTTTTGTTTACCATTACAGGATTTGTAGATGTATATTCTGGTGATAAGAATGCTGTCAAACACCACTCTGAGAGGATACTAAAGGTAGGGCAACTGAAGATATCTGATGATCACATGTATTTTATGTACATTTGCAAACAAAAATGATACACAGAGTTTGATAAAAAAAAAATATATATAAACACAATGTTTAATATAAACAAGAAACCTTTTAAAACAAATGTATATCTAAAGTTTATGAAAATACACAGATCTTGATCTACATTAATTGTCATGATGATCCGATTTTCTTGTTTCTTTGGGACTAGTACCTGCTGCGGAATAGATCTCCAAGTCTGAGTCTACCTTTCCCCTACCTTAATGGATTTAACAACACCACAAGCATGAGGAACTCTGTACTAAAGTCCACTTTCAAAGGTCTCAAAGAATCAGGTAATGTATCTGTTCATAGATTGCTGATTAGATCAACTTGAATCAGAACATTTAACTGTGGGTATTTTCTGCTAATATATAGACAGTAGTGGGTAATTTCTCAATTTGGAATGAATATGGTATACATTTTTTTCCACAGCACAAATGGGTGGGCAGGCATCACTGGGATCCGGGGAAGAGGTACGCACCATTAGCCCATGTCACACCAGTATAGAGGTGTCGTCCAACACAGCTGATGTATACAGGTAAAGCCTAATGTGTTCTTACTTACACAGTCAATGTATACAGGTAAATTCTAATGTGTTCTTACTTACACAGCCAATGTCTACAGGTAAATTCTAATGTGTTCTTACTAACACAGTCAATGTCTACAGGTAAATTCTAATGTGTTCTTAATGACACAGCCAATGTCTACAGGTAAATCCTAATGTGTTCTTACTAACACAGTCAATGACTACAGGTAAATTCTATGTTCTTACTAACACAGCCAATGTCTACAGGTAAATTCTATGTAATTACTAACACAGCCAATGTCTACAGGTAAACCCTAATGTGTTCTTACTAACACAGCCAATGTCTACAGGTAAATCCTAATGTGTTCTTACTAACACAGTCAATGTCTACAGGTAAATTCTATGTTCTTACTAACCCAGCCATCGTTTACAGTTAAATTCTATGTTCTTACTAACACAGCCATCGTTTACAGTTAAATTCTATGTTCTTACTAACACAGCCATCGTTTACAGTTAAATTCTATGTTCTTACTAACACAGCCAATGCCTACAGGTAAACCCTAATGTGTTCTTACTAACACAGCCAACGTCTACAGGTAAATCCTAATGTGTTCTTACTAACACAGCCAATGTCTACAGGTAAACCCTAATGAGTTTTTTACTAACACAGCCAATGACTTCAGGTAAATTCTAATGCATTCTAACTAACACAGTCAATGTCTACAGGTAAATTCTATGTTCTTACTAACACATCCATCGTTTACAGTTAAATTCTATGTTCTTACTAACACAGCCATCGTTTACAGTTAAATTCTATGTTCTTACTAACACAGCCAATGACTACAGGTAAACCCTAATGTGTTCTTACTAACACAGCCAATGTCTCCAGGTAAATCCTAATGTGTTCTTACTAACACAGTCAATGTCTACAGGTAAATTCTATGTTCTTACTAACACAGCCAATGACTACAGGTAAACCCTAATGTGTTCTTACTAACACAGCCAATGTCTACAGGTAAACCCTAATGAGTTTTTTACTAACACAGCCAATGTCTTCAGGTAAATTCTAATGCATTCTAACTAACACAGTCAATGTCTACAGGTAAATTCTATGTTCTTACTAACACAGCCAATGTCTACAGGTAAAGCCTAATGTGTTCTTACTAACACAGCCAATGTCTACAGGAAAATTCTATGTTCTTACTAACACAGCCAATGTCTACAGGTAAATCCTAATGTGTTCTTACTAACACAGCCAATGTCTCCAGGTAAACCCTAATGTGTTTTTACTTACACAGCCAATGTATTCAGGTAAATTCTAATGCGTTCTAACTAACACAGTCAATGTCTACAGGTAAATTCTATGTTCTTACTAACACATCCATCGTTTACAGTTAAATTCTATGTTCTTACTAACACAGCCAATGTCTACAGGTAAA